TCCTCCTCCTCCTCCTCCTCCTCCTCCTCCTCCTCCTCCTTCTGCGTTAACTTCGTGGGCATTTTCACGTTTTTGTCGTTATTCACAGATCATCCTAGCAGTGCTCATGCCAGGTCAGTGCCTCCCATCTAGCTGATGATTGCCATAACGGCAGTTGGAGTGTGCCACTAGCCACCTTAAGACGTGGGTCAATGTGAGAGTCAGGCAGTGTGTTGTGGATAAGCTTGAATATGTTGACGGAGTGACTCAGAGTGAGACTTGGACGCACACTCAGTGTGTTCCTTCTACCCATCATCGAGGCAATAGGAGGACGCCAGCACTTTGATGCATTGGTCCATCTGCCGTAAAACCTCAGGCTATCAACTCTCTAGAAGGGAGGTGCAACAGATTGAAAAAGGCTTGTCATATGCGTAATAATGGGCGGCACAAGTTATGACATATTCCGCCTCCAACTCTCTCACTTCTCTTCGTCACGACGTACAGACGCTAATGGCAACATCATCCAGCATAGAATCACACAGAGTCATGTCACCTCTGGTTGGCTTTCGCGTCACTTTAATGGATGCAAATTGGAGTAGCGAATTCAACGAGACGGATGGCATATTGGAAATGTTCATATGATGGTTCTGTGCATTCAGCATTGTTAAATGAGTAGTACAACTCTGCCTGTGCATCCTTGTATTACATCATTTTAAATCACTACCATCCCTCTGTGAACAACAGACACTGGGCCTTGTTTGGCACAATTCTTATGCTGCAATTACTGTTTGCCACAGACCTCTACTCTTTTCTCTTGTCAGCATAACCTATGTGACTCTTTTATTTGCCACTCACATTTTACGCACATTTGTACAATAATTGAAGAATAAAACAGCCGTGCAGCAGATGAGGTCAAGAGTGCACCGCCGCACACCAATGCATTGAACGCCGTATGCGTGAACCAACCAACCAACCTAAGTGGGTGTAACTGCAATAGATGTGTGATGGCTCTCTGCCAACTCTACATCTCCACTCTTCTTCATTTTCTCTATGCTCATCTGCCTCAGAACCTCTTATGTTTATCACAGTGCTAGTGACACGGTGGCCTCAACACGCTTGCCACGCATAGACTTGCACAATTTAATTGAGATTGTAAGTAGTAAAAGAATTCCTTGTTAAATTTCACATAGTAGATGTAGTCGTTGAAACAACTGCATTGA